CTATCATTAACCAAATATCCGGTTATTGATATAGAGTGGTTACCAAAAAATAGAATGCGATAAGGACGCTGTTGATACCAAATTTTGGCCTAGCCTATTATAATATTACACGTGGATATGTATTATATCAATTATTTTATTTTTTGGGCCTTAAATAATACCGCTTGTGATAATATCGGGCCCATTAAACATATATATATATATATCCCCAATGATGGACCTGGATAGATAAGTCTGAGGGGCGCTATTATTATTTTTCCTATCTTATCTCTAAGGGGGGAGGCACCGCCTAAAATTTCCTCTGGGCTTCCTAATTCTGTATGTTTCTTCAACAGTAATACAGAAGGAAAAATACAGTAATTCCTGGAAAATTCATACAAAAATCACAGCCAAATTCAATATATACAAACAATTCTGAACCTCCCATGTTGATCAATTTTCGAGCATCAACAGACGCTTCATGGAAATATCAATGGGATAAGGTCATAACAGATCGCTATACATTTTAACGATAAAAGCTCAGATGGAATGATTTATGATAATTATGTCGTAATTGATGAATTAATTAGATGTGTGAAAATGACATAATTAATGAGAAGTGTGAAAATGACATAATTAATGAGAAGTGTGAAAAAGACATAATTAATGAGAAGTGTGAAAGGGACATAATTAATGAGAAGTGTGAAAAGGACAAAAACTTACCGGTTTTAGAAAATATTTAATACAAATCAGACATTGACCATAATTTGACCTACTATTTTGGATAAATGTTAATTCTTATTATATAAGTATAGATTTGAATTCAGAATTTGAAATCATTGGGTTTAGACATTATTTTGGTGTTTCTTAATCCTTTCAAAAGGGCAGCAACATACCTTTTTTTTATTTCTTTCTAGCAAAGAATCCTATGGACAATCCATTCCTGCGTGATACACTTTGAATCGCAAATATTTGATCAATTCCAACAAATTTTACTTTTGAATTTTGGAGAACATGATTTCATAAATTTTTGTAAGATGGATGCAGCTAATGTTGTTCACAACTATAGGGGTCACAATTTTGGGAAAAAAACATTAAATCTTGTTACAGAGTCGAATTAAATATCATATTCTAATAATTATAAATAAAAAGTAAGATATTTTGTATTATAAATACTATTGTAATAAAAAAATATTCTACTTGTTTGGCCGCCTAGAATTAGTACGTGTAAAATAAATTAAGGTGGCATCGTTATTTGTAAATGAAAGAGATCGGATGGGACCGTGCTAGCGATTATACTGTCATTTGCGTAATCTTTTTTTATTAACTAGTGCGTGTCCCGTGCAATGCACGGGAAAACAATATTACGATTGTATTATAAATTTAATATATAAATAACATTAATCATAATTTATCCATTGTTTTTAAATTTGAACTGGTTTGGACATAGTTCGACCGGATAGACCGAGAATCGGTTTATAACCAATCTAGTTCGCTTGATTAAAATATTTACTCTCGAATCCGTCAACACCAGTCGGTTGAACTGGTAGGATCAACACAATTTTCTAAATAAAATTTGTTATATTTAAAATTATTTTAAGTAAAATTACATATTTAAATAAAATAGAAATTTATAAATTATTTATCAGTTAGTTTAAACATTTGAATTTATAAATTGTTTAGATATCTTAGTAACACATTTTATTTAAATTTATTACAAAAGTGCTATAAAAATCTGAACAAACCACAAATGATTTAATAAAATTGCTTGATCGTTTCGATGACGGTCCAGTTCTGAAAACCTTATATTTACTGTACATTAATAAATATTATAATAAAATATTATTTAATTCACATAAATATTAATAAAATGATGTATAAATGTTCTTAAATCATTAAACATGTTGTAATAAAAGTATTGTTAATACGATTATTTGAAATTTGGGCTACATCACATTCACATAATAACATATTTTTAATATAAAATTTATATTTATGTTCAATAATCGATTTGGTGTGGTCGAACTGATACATAACTTAGTCATCTGGGACCAACCAAGTTGTATCAAGTTTTTTTACTATTTTAAATATCACCTAAAAGTAATTCAATCAACATGAGCAGTACCCTAATTCAATCACCCGATTGATCCCAAAAAATTTTCTTATTTTCTTTAAATATATTTAATTTTATGAAATACAAATATTTTATGATTCATATAATAAATGTCTACACTGTTGTAACCATTTTTGTTACGTTTTTCGTTACTGTTTTGTTATTCTTTTTCTCCCGTTTTAGGTCTTTTAGATGGTTTTTAGTTCGTTTTGTAGTTTATTGTGTGTTTTACTCTATCTTAGCTTTTTATATGTTTTTCGTATATTTTGTCGGTTTTCTTTGTTTTTCTTCTTATTTTTGGTGTGCAGGTCGGAAGCACCGTGAGAAATATATGTAGAACAAACATAGACCGGGCAATCATGGTTGCATAGAAGGGTTCGTTAGAGACATGTGGGAAAAAACGAAACTCAATTCCGAGTTCGGACGAGCTCAAACGAGCCCAAAATGCAAAGTTGCGTATAGCTGTCCAGAAGTCGCGAGTCAAGTCGCGATTCACCAAGAAATGTCGCGACTCGCGAGAAAAACTGAGGCTAAAACATCAATTCTGGAATGGAGTCGCGACTCGCGAAATCTGGCTGGAAACAAGAAATGAGCAAGATGGACCCTCCACTCGTTTTCTTTGCATAATTTAAGGAACTACACTATGTTTTGAGGCACTACACCATATTTTGAGGGCACTTTCATATTAGTTGAGATGGTGGATGATTTTCTTCCATGTTTTGTGGTGATAATGCATTAAATCATGGATGAATGTTGGATTGGAGTAGTATAAATAGGGGAAGAAATGCAAGACAAAAAACCATCCCTCATGGGAGGAGTTCTTCTCCTCCTTCTTCCTTCTCTTGTTCTTCTTTTCTTCTTAGTTATTTTTCTTGTTTGTATTTTGGAGATTAAGCATTCCACAAGGATTCGATTTGGCTTGTACTTATTTCTCGACTTGGATTATTTGTAAGTTTTCCTTCTTGTAATGATAATTTGCAATAAATCTTATGTTGAGTTTATTTTTGATATGAATAGCTAAATCATTTGCTAGGGATAGGGATGAATATTTGATTTCGTATGTGATTATTGTACTCGTCGATTGTTCACTTTGTATGAGTTAATTCTAAATTCGGTTTTTGATTTTCACTTTGGAATGACATATTGTTGAAAAGTGACAATTCAACCTTGCAATTGATTTCTAAGTATTGAAGAGTGACACTTCAATGTTAAACTTGTTTTCAAATTGAATATGATGTGTTTTTTTGTGACGATCACGATCCGAATAGACTAGACGACTAACCATCCTATTGTCTATTTTAATCGACTCTTGAACCGAAAGGGGAAAGGTCAATTGATCGAAACTCATACAAAATAGACATAATCCGAAAGGTATTGTCTATGTGTTAAGTAACTCGTTAATTTACCGTTTATATTTATTCTCATAATCCGAAAGGTATTGAGGATGAACCTTTAAACGTGTAGATGACTCGAATTCTTTAACCGAACAATCACAAGCCGATGATTGCATTTCGATTCGAAATATTTATTCCCGATTCCATAGCATATTTACCTTTGTGTCGTTTATATTTTTAGATAGATTATCGTTTTATGTTATTATTTTAGTTAATCATTTTCCAACCCTATCATGATTAGAATGTGTAGGATTTATTTTGCTTTTATGTGTTATCAACACCAATTCTAAATTCCGAACAGTCTTCCTCGAGAGATCGACCCGGGAAACGAATCATTCGATTCAGTGCTCGGTAAAATAAAAATAATTTGCTACAACATACACCAAATGAAGTATATTAAGATTATAAATTATATATCTAAAGATGAATTAATTATTTTTTTACTTTATGCATATTAATAAAAAATAAATATAGTAATTTTCAAAAAATTAAGATTAATTGATTGATTATGCAATTTAAAGAATAAAATAAAAACATACACACTTAATAAATCTTATCCAGATTTTTTAAATAATAAAATGAACTAAAGCCTGAAATTTAAGGTAGCATTTAATGATGTATGATTTTTAAAGAAAAAAATAAGAAAAATAATAAAACTATTTTTGGTAAATAGTAATTCTTATTATATTATATATATATATAGATATAGATTCCTGATAAATCCCAACGGTTGATACATTTTGAATGGAGAAAATTGCAATTTTAATCCAGTAACTTAGGCTGTTTCCCACTTTAATCCAGTAACTAGGACCGATCCAAAATTGGTCCAAAAACTTCTAAAATGTAGTTAAATTAGTCCAATTCCGGTCCCCGTCGCCGGAATCCGATCGGAATGTGCTGAGTTGGCAATTCGGATTCCCGCGACGGGGACCGGAATTGGACTAATTTAACTACATTTTGGAAGTTTTTGGACCAATTTTGGATCGGCCCAAGTTACTGGACTAAAGTGGGAAACAGTCTAAGTTACTGGACTAAAATTGCAATTTTCTCTTTTGAATGAGTGAATTTCTCACTATATTATATTTTTTCCACTTGTTGGTAACGTAGATGATTGATGCGTTTGTGTCAACAATTTATAAGTACACACTTGGATGGTAATTTTTTTTTTTTTAAGATTTTATTGTTTGTAATACACGATTTGATTTGATTTGACCATAAAAACCATAAGAATAATTTTACATCTTTTATACGCGCATTATTCTAAATTTTGGGATGTTGAAAAACTTCAAAATATATCTCGTCATATTTGTTGAAAGTACTATTTGTAATATACAGGACTCTGTAATATCATATTACCGTATTGCTAGGTATCTACTTGATATATTTCCAATATAATGTAGTCCAAATGATTCTTCAAAATATATGTTTTTTTTTTCCAGCAATTAACATAAATGAAATCACAATACCAACTAAATGATGAGTTTTGTTTGGAAAAATACAGAATCACTATTTGTTTTTAGATATATTTCATGCAATATTTTTTATTAATTTACGTCAATCAATGAATTAACAAATAGGATTATTCACCACGTTTTGAAAAGATTTGGATTCAACATACACAGTACATGGAAAACCGTTGATCTAATTGTAATCACCGGATTACATGCCAATTAGATAACGATCACGTAATACTATAATTAGTCAATATTTGTAAATAAATTAAAAATTATTTATTAAAAATATTCGAATTCATAAGTTGTGCGCTATTACATATTCACAATATTATATGTTCATTTGTTAATAAAATAGAAATTTTAAAAGAATGCAGATGATCAATGCATATATATAACAAATCTAAAATAAAAATAATATTATCTATTATCAATATTTGTACATTTGAAATTTGAATTTACTATATTCGCAGATTTCTAGAAATTAACATTTGATATCCAAGAATCATCAAAAAAATTAAAACATTGGAAAGTCAAATCATGCCAAAATAATCCAGACCTAGGCAATCATACAAAAAAAAAATGATCATTTTAACTTGCAGAAATACGTTTTCCATATTGAATGGAAATTTCCAAAAAACATGATTAGAATAAATTCAAAATTTCGCCAATTTATTTCCAGCTTTAGGAAATTGAAATTTTTCGGCGGGAAACAACTACTATTTCACGTAAATACCAAACATTTTTATATTTATATAGATATAGATGTGAATGAAATATAGTGGGAGAATTAGTCATGTATAAAATAACGTAATATAAAAAAAAATTGATTAATTGTGTTGTGATATATAATTGATGAAATAATAATTGATAATTATAAAATACGTGAATTAATGAGTAGTAAGTTTTATAAATAATTATACAGTAATAATAGTTTTTTCTACGAAATATAGTACTTAACATCATTACTTTTCGTTATATAGATTTCAATCGAATTGTACTCCTACTAAAACTCACATCTCTAAACTGAATCCAAATAAGGATAACACTCCTAAATAATAAACAAAAAAGGGCAAACACTCATGTAACGAAGAGTTTGTTGCCTATTTCACCTAGGAGATTAATTGATGACTTTATATAGGTAAATAAAAGCATGTGTCAAACAAAGTTTTTTGTTAGTTTTGATTAATCTATGGAAATATCCGAAACAGCATTAGTGCTGATCATTTTTGGATGTGTCATCTGTGGCATGTGTTTTATTTGCGTTCTCTGCGGCAAATACGGACCGGAATCCGACGTCGTGAAAGGCCAACGGACGGCACGAAGTGGCGGCAGTGGCACGGTGTTTTTGTGGTCGGGAGCAAATCTTTCTGCCAGCGGCGGCGGTGGCCACGGCCATAATCACGGCGGCGGCGCTGGTTGCGGCGGTGGCGGCTGCGGTGGGTGATGAAAATATTTGATGCACGAATTAATGAGAGCGGTAATATTTTCTTTACTTCTGCTTGTCATTGAGAAGTTCTTAATTAATTCACTTGTTAATAATATAAGTGCTTTGTCTTGTTGACACGTTAACAATTCCAAAAAATATAATTTCTATTGAGTCATGAGAATAATATTTTGTCATATTTTAGTGATCTAATAATAAATATTTAATTTCTTATGCTTTTTATTTCGACTGTTATCTGTGCAACATAGAATATACTAAGGCCAACAGCATTAATAATCAATGATCACAAGATTTGAACCAGGGAAGGACAACCAAACTTAAAAGCTACAAATTTCAATATATAATAATATGTAAAAGTATGATGATGAGATTAAGTGTTATATAAAAATAATAAAATATTAAAAGTAATACTGTTTTATTAAAACTTTGTCGTTGATTATTGTTGTTCGAAAATTGTGTGTGCCAACAACTATGACCATCTCATCTATACCCCTCATGCAGGTACCTTTTTCAAACATATCTACACGTGTAAAAAATTGCTTAATTTGCCGTAAATTATCATTTCATCTATCTAGTCAAACTTCTGTTTAGGCTCATTGATTTTAAATGATACAATAAAAGACCAATGCCCGAGCTCATCTTTCCTTTATGCATTTTTTTTAAGGCATATAATATAAATAAAAAACATATTTATAAGTTACTAACAAGTCAGGCTAAAACATCTATACAACTGAATTTAGGAGAGGCCTATACGACGAGAACGCTCGTAACTTAAAATCAACTAATCTAAGCGCACCCACAATTGTAGTAATCTAAACTCCCACAAGTGGAGATTTCTAACTTCAATAATAGAGAATAAGAACATAAAAAACACAAAGACACACAAGAACACACAAAAATTGGAAAACAACCTAATAGTTAGACGAAAGCCCTCTTCGGTAACAAACGAGTCACTCCCAAACACCCCAAGCGAACCAACACCCAAGGCAACTATGCAAGAAGACCCAGCCCATGGCCCAAACAAAGACCTTAAAAACTCCCCTAACGGCTAAATAGATCCGGACCAAAGGACCAGACATCTTCCCAATAGGCCACCACTGGGTCGGCATTAGAAGACCCGTACCCAAACTCGCCCCCAGCCCAACCGGCGACCACATGCAGCCCGTCGACCAGATTCAATAGCTGTGGCCACCAAGGCCCCAAAAAGGAGAATAATAACACAAACTATGAAAAAAGAAAAACCTAATAACTATAATAAAGCCCCCCACACCAGTCGAAAAGCCACCCGAACTGCCACCACACGAGTCAACGCCCTAGGCGAGCAAACAAAGAGACAACAATTCACCCCACGACCTAACATAGGATCTAGAAACTCTCCCTGTGACTAACTAGGTCTGGACCTACAGATCATAAGTCCTCCCAAAGTTCACCACCAGGGTGCACTGCACCGCAATCCTCCCCCACCACAAGATCGATGCTCGCAACCCAGAAATCGCCTGCGCCGGAGGATCTCGCCAAACCAAACACCAGGGACATGGTCGGAATAGGGGAAAATTGTGGCACCGACCTCAGCCCCGACTGCCACAAAGCATCAAACCACGACAATCACCATGAAAGCTCCAGCGAGCCTTCAGACCCCACCCGCCCCAAACTTCTGTCATGGCACCGGAGAAGGGAGACACCCACGTGAAAAGAGGAAACAAGAGCCCGTCGGGAAAAGTGCAGCCTGACCTATAGCCGGCCCAGATGTAAGTCGATGTCGCGAGGGTGCAGAGCATTCGCCGGTGAGGAGGCGCAGCAAAGGGGAGAAACTGAGGGTTTGAGTCTTTGATTTGGAGATTTGGCCCCAGGAGAGAAAAAATAATACCTCACTCCCACATATGATGTTGTTATTAGCATGTTATTGTGTGAATATTTTTGTTCAAAAATATAAAATAATATTTGAATTTTATTTTATAATTGTATTAAAAAAAAAGAGTACAACTGACATGTTTTCGTGTGTACCTATGGGTTGTGAAGATTAATCATGGCTATCGTGAAGCCAATTTTGTGGCTGACTATTTTGCGTCTTTGGCGGCTAAGGGCCTGGGTGGGTTGCATAGACTGGAGCGTCCTCCTCCGGGGGCGGGATTATGGTTACAACACGATATTGTCGGAGTGTCTTATCCTCGAAGCATCCTGCCATAGCTGTGATATTGGTTTTGCCTCCTTTCTTGTACCAAAAAAAAAAAATGAGTTGAGTTCAAACTCTCCATACTCTAGCTTTTATGGATCAGATTTAAACTCGAGGCTTAACAAACTGAACTCGGACTTTAACAACTCGAATTATTATATAGAGAATTATATGTTTCCAAGTCATACAGACCAAACTCGAATTTTAATTTTTAACGACTCACAACAGACTTATTTAATCTAACGACTCTAAATTTAATAATTTATTTACGCATAAAAAAATGAAGGAAAAGAAAAGGTGAATATGGCATTAGAAAAAGATGTTTTGGTGGGACCCGCAAAATGAAAGAAATATTTTAGATACTCATTAAATTACTTTCCCTCTCAATTCGAATTTCAAAACGCAGTGGAACCATCATCAGCACAGTGACACCCCAACTTTCCCTCTCCCAAATAATCTCATTGAAATTCCGATGAATCAACTCAATTAAAGACATTACATTTACAGAGATACGCACACACACACTCGCAAAATGTGTGTATGTAGAAAATGGTAACGCCATGCTTTTCTGTTGAGAAGAAGGTGAAGCATCGGTAGTGGAAGCTTGTGCGAGACGAGCGATGGGCTGCTTTTTCGGCTGTTTTCGATCCAGAGATTCCATCCTCAAGCCAATCGATCCTCCTACGGTAAGATCTGAGATGGTTGAGCTTGAAGTTTAGCGAAATTTGTTTAATTTTGATTTTTTTTTTCTTTATTTTATTTGGATTTGAGCAGGAGCCAGTGGTTTCAGGGAGTAAGAATGCGCTCTCGTCGTTATTCGAGTGTGATGGTAATTCCTTATTTGTTATAATGTGAGCCTTGAGTCGAGTTCTTATTAGAATTGTGTTGGTTGTGTGATGAATCTTTTGATTGGTTAAGTTTAACGTTAATGGATTGTTTTTGTGAGTTGCTGAAAAGATGAACCAATTGGAAAGGGAGAGGAAGGTCAGAAAAGTTTGGGGCCTGGGGAACTTGATATGAAGGTGCTAAAGGAAGAGGTATGTATCTTGTTTAATTCTTAAAGAAACGTCACATGCTTTGATATATGGTTTTCTAGAATTGAAGATTTTTTTGACTGGTTTATCGGTTATCTCGATTAGTGTAGCTAGTGGCTGTTATGTATGTGATTTTTCATCTTCAGGCATGAGGATTTATCCCCTCTTCCTCTGCTAGGTTAATGAAGTTCTTTTTATATATCCGGTTTGATATCGATCTTCCGAATATTCTGATGTCGGCATACAGATGTGGCAACAAATAGGCCTTTTATAATATAGTTATTGTAGATTAATACGTTAATGCTGCATGAATAAACAATTATGACGTCATCTGGTTTCTACTTGTATAACTAAATAGGTGACATTGGCTCTAATTGTGCAGGCCAATCTCCTCAAAGCTTGTGGAACTTTACCTGAAACTCCTGTTGAAATTAGAAAGGCCTTGGAAAAGTGGGAAAGTAAATCAGATTCTTTGGGAGATTCTCCAAGCAGGTACTTAAACCCATGGATTTTAAAATCTCTGTGTAGCCCTATAGCAGATGTTCATCAGGTCATGACTTTTGATGGTACAATTTCCAGCCTTTGGTTTTAAGGAAAATATCATTTACAGCTTCTCTTGCCCTCTTTTGCTTATCGCAAGTTTAGATGATTAGGCACACTGCTACGTGCTTAGGTTGGATTTAGATTTACTGCAGTGTTTATGTGAATGACCAAGCTTCTGCCAATTGATATTGAAAGAATTTTCTGTCCCTTTGTTCATTTCTTCATTTCTTCTCTTATATGTTTCGCAAGTCAGGTTCTGTAGTTATATTATATATTTTCAGATTCACCGCTTTTCAAGTACTGTGCAATTTAATCCCAATTCTCAATTTTGCTTGTTAGCTGCATTACTGAAGGATGGAATCCAAGACGTGGTATGAAGAATGTCATTACATCATTAGACATGCCCGTTACTGGATCCTATTCCGAAAGTTCGGCAGTTTCACAACAAGTGCTAACACCTGATGCAGAATGTAAAGCCAAACCTGTTCGTTTTGAGTGCGACTCAGAAAGTTCCGCATACTCATCAAAAGGCTCCTCTGAATTCCGTAATCGACCCTGCAAACAATTCGGATCGGCCAATAACACAAGTGTACCAAAACCATCACCATATACAACTCCTTTGAAATTGTCCGATGAGGTGCAGACACCTTGTACTAATTTTAGTGACAAGATAAATATGTTTGGTTGCCAGAAAGAAGATGATGTGATGTTGACCCCAGTGGCTGAATCAGCAGCAAAACAGATTACAGTCGGAAAAGAGACGAAGATTGAAGCAAGCCTGTCTGATTGGCTGAAGCCAGTTTCACACAATAATGGTGCTAATATCGAAAAATTTGGCCGTGGCTCTCGTGAAAAGGTTAATTTTCGGAAAACACCTGGGGATAGGCCTATTTTGGGTATGGTGGCGGCTCACTGGAATGAGGATGAAACTCCTCAAGTTCCACCTAAGTGGTTTGATGGGAATGGTATCCCTAATTCTACTAACAAGTATAAAGAGGTATTTTTTTTACTACATACTTGCTTTTTTTTTTTCTTTAATCCTTTCACTCTCTGGATATTATAATCTTGTTACTATGATACTATAACACTACAGGATCAGAAAGTCAGCTGGCACGCAACGCCGTTTGAGGAGAGACTGGAGAAGGCATTGTCTGAAGAGACCTTTATATCTAAGAGGTGACGTTGTTTTGCTGAGACTCGGGTAGACTTCAGGAAAAGTGCTCAGCTGATTCCTTTGAGCTTTTTCATGCAACTTTTACGTATCATCATCGTCGTGCCTTCTGGTTAGGTCGATCGTAAAATTAAGAACTTACTGTCGAACAAAACCAAATTCGACATTCTACTATTGCTTCGAATAATAGAACATTAAAAGATGCATGATTTGAGATAAACTGGCATTTGCTATAGAGAAGGAACTGGAAATTAGTCAACTAGAAGCACAGCAGTCCTGCTAACACTTATTATATTTTGCGTTGTTTATAATTTTTGACAGATAGAGATATTTATTTTCCTTTCTTTTCCTTTTTTTTTTTTTTGNGGAAATAACCTTCTACGGTATTTGTGTTAATTAACCTATATCCGATTCATAACTATTAAATTTTGCAGAAAACCTATTGGCATGACACCTTCATTTGATTTCGGTGAATCTGAAGAGTCCGACACTGCCTTCTCACATATGCAATCTTCGGACCGCATCAAATCTGTTGTTTCATTCTGATAAATTCCTGAAAAAAACTATGCTTCTTTTTGTTTTGAGTTCATTATTCGTAATTTTTTTTAAGTCTTTATTGATGAGCCCCTGCTAAGTTGTTGTGGAGCTGATTTTAGGACATGTAATAGCAGAACTTGAGGTGGCAATTCATTACAGGATTCAGTTGTTTGTTGTGAATGTAAATAGACAAAAAACGCTTATTTTTGGTTCGTGGTACTATTTTTATGCTTACTGGTGTGCACTTAATTTCTTTTTAAGCACATCCAAACTCTCATAATATTGTTATGGAGTTTGGATTTCGTAAATTCAAAGGAAAAATGGTATTAAATAATTATTTAATATAAAACTTATCTGGAAGTTTAGTTTGTTGGATGGTCCAACAAATGTTGCGACTTAGGTTTCATGAATGTTAAAGTAAACAATCAGGGAAGTACCTATAGCATTTCTCCATACATATTGCTTTTTTTTTTTTTCCCATACATACATATTGCTTATAACCATAAGTTTTCATTACAAAAATTGGAGCTAATGAATAATTAAATGTTTAAATTATAACAATGAGCAGATTTATCTAAGTATCAATCCCTTAATATTAAAGAAATGAAGCAGGTCCCTATCTATAGTTACATCTCACTATCTCATATAAATTTTAGTTTGAGAAACAAGCAACACCGAAATAATAATAATGACTTTGTTATGTACACCATGTAATTATGTAAACATAAATAATAGTGATTAGTGAGAGCTAACACTAACAGTTACATAATCTCAATTTCCAAGTCCGCAGTTTAAAAAATATTATAAATAAAAATAGAATAGCATAAATATTCAATTTTATTAATAAAATAAGATGGTCATAACGTTATATTGACTAATAAAAAGTGTGCATACGCAACATTATTCCGACAAAAAAATGTTGATGAAAATGAGAAATTTACACAAGACAAGCGAGCCTATGTTACTTATCATTATGACCTCTTTCAATTAAAGGAAAAATTGGAGGTGGCGTTATTTGGGCCGTGATGGAAAAGATTATATTATTTGTTCACTAGTATTACGATCCACAATGGTCCTATTTATCGGCCCACTAATTGTAAGATGAAGCAACTCCAAGCTGAACCGCAATTCCCAATTCCATGTAATTAGGGTTCTTACCAGCTGCGAAAATTGAGGTAATCTATGGTTTCTTATCGGCTCAGATTACCTTAGCCAAGGAAGTAAAACTGCGTTTAGGTAAGTTAGTTGGTTCTTATCCGTTCTTCCTGATTATTGTTCTACTGTTTATCTTTTTACCTGTTTGTGTGTTTCTGCAAATGATCCATCTTCGTTCGGCAGGTTGTACGAATTTCTGTTAATGCAATGCTTAGTAGGTGATTTGGAGTAAAATGCAGCAAGTCGATCAAATGAAGGCGAGGCCAAGTCCTGTGAATATGGCTGAAGTGGTAATTTTTTGGGATAATATTATCGTTTCTGAAATTCAATTGACTAGTTAATTTCTGTAATCTATGCCTCTTAAGATGTCTAATAATTTATATCAATGAGCATATGCATGTTCTTAACGTTTTCCTTTCTATCAGAATTTTTCCCCAGCTGAGGATGCACGAGTGGAGGCTACCCGTGCAAGATGTATTGACCCTTGCTTTTTCTTATGTTAGTTTTAGTTTTTACTGATGTCCTTGAAATTCCTGTGCAATGAAATTCATTCTTTCTTTGCCAGTTTCAAATGTGCTTAAAAGGCATGGGGAATTAATGGAGAAACTATCTAGGTACATATTTATCTCCCCTCTTACTTTTGGCTTGAATGTACATTGTCTAATGTTCCGTGTTAATGAGTATTGTTTGGTTTCTATATATAAAATAATGCTTCAGAAGGTGTATTTCTCAGGGATTCTGACAAGTCTGTTTTTGAACGACTGCAAAGGGAATTTGAAGCTGCACAGGCTTCTCAAACACAAGGTAAATATTTTCTTGGACTTTTTGATTGATTCTGACATCTATCCATAGTTTCCAGCTCATCTTATTTGTAAGTGCACATTGTTAAATTTTGTGTTTCTATCAGCATTTAGCTATGGTTATGAAGTAGGATGCAAAACAGTCTATACGTGAGCTGCAAATACGAAATGGATAGAAACTCATAACCTGTTGAGAATATTCTCTTGCACTTAATCTGATTAGCATCTTACCTTGCATATATATAAAATGGCCTGGCATAAGATTTGTTGTATTTTCTATCTTTGCTCATTACCATTCCACTATCACTTTTAATTTTTTTTTATTTTTTTTTTTTGCTGGTTCTGATGTAATGTCTATTTCGATGTAGAGATAGGTTTAGATGGTGAGCAATGGAATGATGGGTTGTTAGCTACAATAAGAGAGCGGGTATGATTCTGTTTTACCTTGTTGACCTTTTGGTTATACTTCAATCTCTTCAACTATTAATGATACTAGATTCTACTTACACTATGGTTAACCCTTTATTATTCCTTGAGCTAACGTAAGCTTATACCTTCCCATCATGATTTGGCATTTTTTGACAACTATCATGTAGCAGTTCTGAATGCAGCGTTACCAAACAGAGTAATGTATACTGTGATTATCCATCCTAGTTTAAGTGATACTGTCTTAAGCTACCATCCATTTTCCATTAGTTGGCCCACCCTTTAACCTGTTTATATGATTCAACAGGAAATTTATGAATTCCTTCCCTCTAAATTTCAATGCTCTTGTATTTTGTAAACGTGTTTTTGTTCTATTTCTACCATTGATATTTACTGGTATATTTCTGATGATCTATTTTTTGTCGGTACTCTCAGGTCCACATGGAGGCGGAAAGAAAAGCAGTACAATCACAAGACGATGCTGCTGCATCGCCAGATATTTCTTTTCTTGAAAAGATAACTTATAGAGTTGGAAATAAAGTAAGATCGACTATTTTGCTTTATTTCTCAAATGATGATGTGTGAATTTGTTCTTCTGAACCTGAATACTTTCTAATCCGATCTCTGGCTTTTGCTTGTAGATATGTAATACTAGTATTGACATCTGTTTGTATGCATGTATAATTATATCAGCCCCATAACAATGCAGCCATAAAGCTTATGGTGGAAGTATTTTGTTTTACTTTTTTGTTTTTTAAAGAAAAAGTTAGGTATAATGGACTAATTATGAAGATGGTAATTCTGTGGTTACAATAGTGATTCTGAATTTGTTTACCTCAGACAGAATAATGTTTTTCTTGTTCTCTTCCTTTTATTCCCATTGCTTTGACAAGCAACAGAGTTTTTGGTCTAATTTAAGTTCTTTTACCGACTGACATTCTATCTCTGAAGTAGAATAAAATTTCGATATAAACTCAATATTCATTTATATGGGCCGACTCCCATTTTAGCACGGATTGCTTAATTCATCTTGTGAGTATCAGTTTTGTCCCTTGGATAAGAGTCATTGAAAAGGAAAAATGCCTTATCCACAAGTGCTTCAGTGTCCAACATGTCCAATACCTAATTTAAGTAACGGCATTGTTAGGTGATAAATTGATCAAACGTTCGGTTAAGATCTAATAATCCGTTGGATGTCTATGAACTATTGATCACAACAGATAGTACTTTCATCCACCTGCCTCAGGACCACTGATGTTTAATGTTGACAGTAATAAATAATCAATTGAAGATAATGATTGGATTCTGGATTCTAAATTATTACTAGTATGTTGAATGAACAGATGATCTGTTGTTTGGATGGAGCTAGGATTGGCATTCAATATGAGACATCATATGCAGGTAATTTCTGAATTCATGAACTACATATAGTGCAAAGCTAAGGATACAGTTGAAGGTCCTTGAATAATTAAGCAAACGGATCTTATGATGGTGCAATGATTCAAATACCAATGCAGTGTGTCTGTTTGCATGGATATAGAATTAAGCATGTTAAATTGATGAAATGATATGTCTAAGTTCCAAAAAGTCAATACCTGATGCTAAGAATGTATAGGAAGTTTAAATTTTCAAGTTCCCACCGTATATGAATACCAAGAGCATTGAATTTCCAGGAGAACCTTGTGAGGTGTTCCATTGTGTTCTTGAAAGCAAGTCGTTTCTTGAGAAAATGATAGTTCTCGAGCACACATTTCCATTTTTCTTGCCGATACGTGATGTGGAAAATGACCATCTCTCTTCTAATGCCATGGTGAGGTTAGCTTCAATAATATCTTGTTTCCAATGCGACTATTCATATATAAAAGTCTCTTTCTTATTTCTTTTTGGGTAACAGAAGTTCATTGATCATGTGGGAGAGTTGCTGCAGGCTTATGTTGATAGACGAGAGCAGGTATGCCTTTCCTTAATAATTTTTTCAAGGCATTTACCTTAGACCCTTTGCGGCATATGTGACTAGTATTCGTGTTGATTGTTTATGAACTTGAAGATGAAGCCAGTATATGGTAAAGTGCCTTAAATGGTTTGCTACTAAATATGCATTTTTCAGCAAGAAGCTTAGCCCTCTGTTCCATTAAAGTTTTTCCTCATGATCAATGATGATCTGTGAATGAAAATTATCTTGCTCAGTCTTTTATTGTTTCTTTCCAGGTTCGTCTTATAAAGGAGTTGTATGGGAATCAAATCGGAGAACTTTATTGCAGTCTTCCATATCATATGGTTGAATTTGTGCTTCCAGAATTTGAGTGGTAGGTGATGGCTTGCTTCATTGTTTATTATTTTTCCTTTGAAACTACTTGGCGTTTTAGCCTTTCCAAGTGTTATTTGAACTAAATCCTTTATGTTCTTGTGATGGAATTCTTATTAGATCTTTTAATTGGGAATTTGAGTTTAAATGGATGCTGTTGTTACTACTGAGTCTGCAACACCAGATTTATGCACCAATTGACTGGACTTCAGTTGTTCTTGTTGTTATTTTCTATACAGTATCTTTCTGATTTATTGAGGTGAACTTGTTTTGTTTGTTTGCAACAGCAAAATAACAGTGAGTCTTAGATACGGCAGTCTCGTCTCTACACTTCCATCTGGGGTCAGTGTCCTCGCATGGCCCACGCATCAACCCAAGAGACTCCGGGCTGGTCTAGCACCCGTCAACAGGAAGGACATTTCTGGAAATCATTTAATTCCAGCTCGTTTGACAAATGCTGAGCATGCATTGCGGTCGATGAGTCTACCTGAAGGTTATCTCTTGATCATCAGCTACTTTTTTTTTCTATTATTCTATGCCACAAACAACTCGTGCACTATAAAACCTCGCCTTATTTGTGGTGCACCTCTGAATACACACAAAGGATAGTTAACGCAATCCGGAGTTATGCTTGAAATTACCAAAACATCCTTGAGGTTATGTTTGCTTAAACACACCCCGTCTGATTTGCAGAGTTGGAAAACAGCACGTCTTTTGAGGGGGTGTTTGTAATTCGAAACTCAGCTGCGTATTTCTGTAGCTAAGAGTAAGACCAATCTGCTGGTTGTACGAGTACTTACATGGCTATTTCTTTTTGGTTTAGCCTTTGCAGATATTGTTTTGAGCATGCCACAAGCTCTCAAGGAAGTATTCACGGAGCAAGATGCATAGTCGTCCCATTTTTTTTTTTCGTAAAGGATTTGGTTGAGTAAATAGATATGGAACCATGGGGACGGAATGGTAAAATGATGACGAAAACATAATGGGCGACCTTGTAGAGAATCTCGTTTCTGTATGTTATTCGTCGCATAGTTTTTGGTCCTTCAATGCGTTTGAATTGTGTAATTTTGTATTTGCTAGTGTGCGTGAGAAATTCTTAATTTTATGCAGTTTCTCATTTTATTGAAGTGGAGAATTTTACATGTTCTTGTTCTCTTTTTTTTATGGATGATGGTGTATTACATATGAAAGAAGTCTAGATAATTTGATCAGACTTGGAAAAATTGAAGGCTTTCACGAGCTTCTGTATTGAGTGATCGATTATGTCGGGATCAGTCTCAGGCTCTCAGCACTTACATATCTTATTCAGTGTGGTTCAATATCTTCCTATAATTTATTCACTTATTTTTAAAGAAAACAACAGAATATATGGTTAAAATTGCTTGTGTTTGTGGGTTCAAATAACACACACAATGTTCACATATGCTTTCACTTCGGAAAATTCATAATCTCGCAGTTTTCAAATCTGAATCAGTTTAATTTCATCCAGCTCAACACACGTGAGTGTTACATACATCAGTCATATACATAAAAAATGACCTGTAATTATTGCATCCAAGTTAATCAGGAACATTCCCCGTCCACAAATATCAGAAAAAAGATTACGCCCAGAGTCTCTAAATCACATAATTCACCACTCAATCACATGTATAAATTTATCGAAACACATCTATCAACAAAAACACGAAACGCAACTATGTGAGTGAATACATGTATATATATAATATAAGTAACATACCGAATACAGAATTATACGTAAGGCTGATCCGAAGATCCATGATGGTCCTGGGGTCCATTGACCGGGAAATTCACCACAGGGATGTCGAGGCTCCTCCCATCCGCATTGGGCCCAACCTCTCGGACTTCGGCTATTTGGGCCTCGGTTGTTTGAATATCATTCCACTCACTTTCCCTGATAGAGTGGAGATCTGTTTGCTCGACCGCAAGGCGAACAAAGTTCTCAGTGGCCTCGGGTGTTGCTCTTGAGACGCTCGTGCATGCTTTATCCACGTTCTCCTGTGATGGGTCAACGTGCTTTGTTAGTGTTAAATCGCCATCCACGCCAGAGCAAGGCTCGGTTTTCTCGGCATACACTCGCCTGGTCTCGAGCTGCTGCCTGTAACATCAGTAAATATCAATTTATCCAATTAAGGAAAAAGGATAATCGCTCAACTGATCAAGATCACAGAATGTATAGTACTACCAACAGAGATATGCCTTGCCAGCCAAACTGCTGCTGTATATTTTGCCTAAATAGAATTTTAACTCATTTGAGTCAATGTTTGTAGGTCAAGATTGAAAAATCAGTTTACTTCATTTATCAAAATTGGGACCATAGTAACAGTTTGAGGTACGACAGGAGCCGTGTCATACGATGGGCAAATCTTATTCATGCAAACAACAGAACTAAAAAAGGAATAGTTTCGATTATTCATTAAAAGAATCTCGTATTACCTTTTGAGTTGCTCTTGTAATAAATTCACATATGCAAGTAGTTCTTGATTCTCTTTAGCAGCAGCAGACTCTTTCTCAATAGCTTCCTTTATTCTAGCTTCGGCATCAGCCTCTGTAACCCGGACCTTCTCTTCAGCTCGGACCACAGCTCCTTCCAATATCACGGCATGTTCTCTAGCTTTAGCAAGCTCTGAACGCCATAAATGCGCCTCTTGAAGAGCCGAGTCCCTTTGCTTTATCAGATGATCTTTTTCTGTGCTAAGATTCAGGACTTTCTCTTCCAAAGCTCTTATCTATATGAAAATGAAGTATAGTACTAATTGCATTGAACAAAAAAAGATGACAATGGACCTTATTATGAAACTTAAGAGCAATCAAAATCTAAAGGAATAATAACACCACCTCTGAGACCTACTTAAGTGTAGAGAGAGAGAGAGGGAGGGAGGGAGGGAGAGAGAGGGAGAGGAAGGGAGAGAGAGAGAGAGAGAGAGAGAGAGAGCACTGCAGTCATCCCTCAGCATAACAACCCCCACCCATACACAAATGCGTATGGGATAGAGTCCAGCCCTTTTGAGGTTGTATTTACCTATCAAAATTGCCCTACAAAGGTGTAGTTGAAAAATGGAAAATAATATCAAGTGATATTTGTTTCGTTTTTTTGGGTCACCAAACTGAACTTCGGTGTCACTCGAAAAAAAACACTTGTGATTACCTTTAATTTAGATGACTCCAACTCTTGCTCAGATTCTCTTGTTAAACGCTCGACCTCCGCACAAGCAATTCTCCTTTGCTCATCCATAGTATGAGCAGCGGACGCTGCAGCTTCAGCTGCTTCAGCAGTTTCAGAGAGTTTTTCAGCTATTTCCTTTATCGTTGAATCCCTCGATCGAAGGTCCCTTGCCAAATTTTGCAGCTCTTCATCCTTCACTCTCAGGGTTTCCTGCAATTCAGATAAAAACGCAATTCTTCAGTTTTAGAAGGTGGCAGTGGTTAGAATCCAAAACCCAAATTATTCTATTATTTGAAGAAACTGAAGATAAATTTACAAAAATTATGTAATTGATAGATTTGTACAGTGAAACTAAATGCATTCCCTAATCATGCCAGAACAACATCGGACACTTAAGAGAATAAGCATCACATATTATGTTGAATTGTCAAAATGTGAAATTACATGAAACACATCATTCAAAGGTTGGAGAGGAGAGAACGGATTGAGCAGACGAATTGGTGATGGTTCTTTGATTGATAGGACATACAGAGAGAGGAAAGAGGTTGTCATGATACATCATAATACGACTCTTTTACCTTCATGATGGATAAATCATCCACAGGGAAATCAGGTGTCTTCGTCAACATAGATCCTAAGGCATTTCTCATGGAAATTTGCATTGCAGCTTCAATTTCTTTAGATGCTTCCAGGGCTGTCGAATTAGCAGCAGCAACAACAGTGGCAACTGTTCCTAACTTTGTGGACCCATTTCCACTTAATGTATTCACTGCTTCTTTATGAGCCTTCAGAACCAGTTGTGTCGCACTGTATTGGAAGGGGAAACCAGAAATTGAATGAACAACGAAACTGAATAGTAGAAATTTAACAAAATAAAAATAAATATAAAAAAACTAAACAAAAAATGCAACATGAACTTAACATGAAAAGACTGAAACCACATGAATTCTTATAGTGATCGATTTGACAATTGAATAGACCATATCAAGTAAAATCATTAAAGACTAAACAGGGAAATAGCTAAAATCCAAGTTTCACCTCACATTATTCCAAATTAAGTCATAAAAATTGATTCAGTTCACACGGTTCAAGAGGTATGTGATAGTATCAAAAATCTAGAAGTAATGAAGTTCAAGATAAATTATGTCATTTGTTGGTTATTAGCCCGTAAAAAAATTGCGAAAGGGACACATCATTTTGTATAATCTAATACGAACGAGAAAGAATAGAATATAGGTACCATAGGGAGCTACCGCCAAACAAATAGCATGAGTATTTAAAGGAAAACGGCAGTAATAATTTACATAGAAATGTGGTGTCTTAATCCTTAAAGCCATGCTGTGAATTCAAATCAAATCAAACAGAGTAAAAAACATAAAGATAATGAAATCGATGTAGAAAGAGGGGTTTATATGCAATGATTATTCACATCACCACAAGGGCAAAGTGGCAAAGAGATGAGAAAATAAAACAAATAAGGTGTGTTTCATTGCGTCTTAACAACCATGTTAGCAAATTATATGACATAAGTGACAGAATTGACCACTCACTGTAGAGTAGACACCCAAGCTCTAGCAGCAGCAGGAGTTTCAGCACAAAGGAAATAATCTTTTCTCTGTGGGGTCCCAATGTCTACGAATCAGGTTAAGAACTCAAAATCTAAGTGCTGTTAAAATTAAGAAAATAATAGCAAATTGAAAATGAAATCAACAAATATTACATGAATGCATTCAGAATTTCCATATTCCAACTCTATTGTCACTTCCTATTACCCCCCACCACACTGCTGTAAAAAATACCAGTAAAGGAAAGTAATTAATTAACAAATATGAAATAAAGGTGGATACAGAAGCAACAGCCATCATACTTGGGCAGCCCCCTGAATCAAACAACAGAATATAAAGATGAAAACATGATTAATAACTTATTGAGAACAATGCAATGCATCTAATCAGAATGAAAAGGATATTCTATACCATAAGATCAAGCGTGAAACAGATCTTACTGGAAATTCACAGGGGAAATTGTAATGGTACTGTTTGCATCAAATGTCATGGTTCCTTTGACTGATGGCTCATTTCTCCTTACCCTATAGATGCATATCAATTAACACATAGGTTATACATCGTATGTCGCCCAGGGCATAAAATAAAGTGAGGGGTTGTATTCAGCTTCTTACTTGTACTCCATCTTTCCAGTTGTTGGGTCTAAAATTACCCATCTCTCATTCCACTTCCTCAGCTGTTTAGAATAAAAAGTAAGGAACTCACTTATTCTGATAAAAAGTTGGCTACATAACAAACAATAATGAAAAGTCTCACTAAATATGAACAATGAAGAGCCGAGTAGATATACACTTTTCCCTCTATGGTAAATACAGCGACAATTACCTGAAGGAAACTCTCTTGTAAAAAATACAGGGCACAGACATGAATAGACAAGATTAAGCAGCTGAAATTCCTTATGAAACTATCTCAAATTCATATTTTTTCGCATATTGTAACCACAAGCATCCACTGGCAATGTCTATGATTTGCTATTTCCAACTTGAAATATGTTCTACTTTACCAGTTGGTAAACAAAATTTATAATTATTCGGTTAGTGTTGAGCAAGCTACGCTACACGGCCACATAGAACAACAAAAGCCAAACCATCGGTATCAAATTTCTTTCGCCAGCTAAAACAATCAGCCTATAAGGCAAAATCAACATGAATGAAAACCAAAAATTATAACTCAACTACGAGATCCCACCCAAATAAGATAAATCAAAAAAATCAAAATCCCATTTCTGAATAACTTTAAAAAAACAGGGGTTTCAATGCTAAATCCACTAGCTCGATAAATTGAAACAACAGAAATAAAAATGGAAATAAATGCAACTGAAGGAGGTAATAGTAAACGATGAGCTCGGGCATCAAACAATTACCGTTTCGGATCGCTTGAGGAGAGGTCCTTGCAGCAGATTTCTACCGGAGCTTGATGCCAGCTGCTTCTTGATCTTCTCCAAGCTCGTCTTTGTATCCGCGTCTCTCTGCACAAACCAAGCAATTGTCCCCCAAAAACCAAAGAAAACATAACAGAAATGATTAAATACTGAATTATGTAATAATTATAAAAATGAAGCGACAAATGGGGTACTCACAAGTGGAGCTCCGTTTGTTGCCATGGATGAGCTCGAAAGTTACTGGTTGGATAATTTGAAATGCTGTCGTGAGTTGATCTAGTGAGGGTTTTTGGAGGAAGAAGAGAGATGAAGTAATATGAGGATCTNTTAAATAAATAAAAATGTATTTGATAGCTTATTTCTTATTCATAATCTTATTGTAGTTAAATAAGTTTGATTGTGTAGAAAATAATAATAATAAGTTCGACATACAGTAAAACCAAAAAATATTAGAATTTTTTATTTTAACTAATTTAGTAATTAGTTTCTTAGCAATCAAAGGCTACAATTATACGGTCGAAATTCATCTATAAATTATGAACTAATTTTCTAAAAATGTTTAAAAATTCACAATTGTTGACGGACGTTTCCGGTCAACGGTTAAAATGTTAAGTAATGAAAAGATAATAGGAAAAAGGCAAAGAATTATGGTTTAATCACGATTTTATTAAGAGATCACGAGGTCGGCCTCTCGTACGAGGTCGGCACTTGCGATATGCTTACAGTTTCTTACACGAGTTTCTTACACGTCTAGAGAGAGAAAGTATAGAAAGAGTTTTTTACAGTTGAGGTTCAACAACCTAAAAATAAATGAGGAGGTTGCTATTTATAGTGATCTTTAATGCGGTACTGTTCAGGTACTGTTCACCGGTCTTGTCGTACAGTAGTTTGGCGGGACAGACCGGCGCTTCTCTGACCGATTGAGCGTGATTTCTGGGTTTTCCAATCATTACATGCCACGCATTTAATGCGGATCTGAGCTGCATTTAATGCGGACACGTTTTCTAGCCGAACTAGTCATCCTAGTCCTGTAGACTAGCCTGGAATGTCCCATCGGCAATCATTTGTCGATAAGTGGCCTTATTTTATTGTGTTTAAGACCGTATTCCTACTGGGGGCCACCCTTGCAAGATCTCGAACAGGGTGCCGACCTCTTTGTTGAGAGGGCATGGTGCCTCGGGATCGGTTCTACCCGCCGTTCCTGGTGGCTTTGATTTTTGCTCAACTCGGCACCCACGAACGGTTCTTGTAACCGGCTCCTTTGGTTCGGCCGGCCACCGCTCGGTTCTCAGCCCATCGGGTCGGTACCCTTATTGGGGCCGGACTCGGATATTAACAACAATAAAATTAACAAAATTCTTCGTGGCCGTTATTCCTAATTCTCGTCGGGTCCCTTCGATTTTTTTTTTTGGCATCTCCCCCGACGGGACTCTCCGAGCGTGCGATGGTGGCACCCCTGGACCTAGGGGTAATCGTCAGTCACCGACAAAAATCAAAAACCGAATATTCAGGTTTCATCACCGAACCGCACCGCAGTAGAAGGAAAAACCAAACCGAACTAAAAATTTTGGTTCGGTTCGTTGTGGTTTTTAGGTTAATCGAAATTAAAAAATGATAACCACAAATTAAAGTTCAAAAATACAAATTTTTACTTTTAAGTTTTAAATGTAAATGTTTATGTGATGTTGTGTCCAAATTTTTAATCACAGAGTCGCAACTTGTATATCGTATATGTAATGTAAGTAAAAGTGTAAAACTAAAGTGACACTTTTTGATATTCGGTATGGTTCGATTAAAACCGCACCATTCGGACATAAACCGAACCGCACCGAAAAATTTGCGGTTTTCCAAAACCTAAACCGCACTGTTAACCAACTTTTCAAAAACTGCACCAAACCACACTGAATAGCTCGGTTTGGTTAGATTTTTCGGTTTCGGCTCGATTTTGCTCACCCCTATCTGGACCTCGCGGCCCTTCTCCTAAATAATGGCCGCCTGGAGGGGTCTTCTTCACTAGGGAGGAAGAGGCGCTCGCACCCCATCCCGTTCTAGTCGCGTTCTGGCACCTGAACACTGTGGTAGGCGGCTGAAACCTAGATTCTTTGTAGTGGTGGTCCTCTGACTTTTTTTTTTTTTTTTTTCGTGACCCCATCTTCTCCGATCTGGGGTCTGGGGTAGAGGGGTTCACCCATGCTTTTGTGACTCTCTTCGGCCTTGGTGATTGGCGAAGGGGTGAGCTGACGAAGTGGGCCAAGGCCCGGATCTGCTGTCTGGGATTGGGTCGATGGAGTCGGTCGGATGTGTGCGGGAGAAAGTCTTCGGGTGTTGGTGTTGATGTATGTATGGTTGGGTTGGGTCTATTGGTGTCGGGCCCAGTTATGCGTTCCTTGGCAGTTTATGGGTCGGGTTCATGGGTCGTGATTGTGTTTGCGTGGCTGGATGTCGTTTGGTGTCATCGTCAATTCGTCATATTGCTTGGAGTGGTTTTTTGTTGCGAGAAGAATGGTTGTAGCTGTAGTTTATGTGTGTTGTGTTTTTCTTTTTTCTCCCGTTGGAGAGTGTGTTTGGTGTATTTTCCATTAGTGAGAGCTTTAGCTAGTTTCCTATTGGGAGTGTTTTAATATATTGTGGTGTTTTTAGTTGGTTCTAAGCTAATATCGGTGTAGTTTTCCCAACTAAATTCAACGAGTTATCTGTTTTATTCGGCGGCTGATTATTCAATTGAGTGGCTGCTATCTAATTTTTGTTTGTTTTGTGAATATATGTAAAAAACTAATTTTTTTAAATTTTATTTATCAAACATACCCATAAATTCTAAATAATATATTACTACCTCCTATTCTTTTTAAATGTCATTTTGGCTTTATCAACTATTAACCAAAATAAATGTCGTTTTGAATCTTTTGTACATATTTTTTCCATTATTACCCTCATTTAGTTAATAAATATATTACGTCTTTTCATATTCTCTTTACTTTTTTCTAAAACATCCATCTCTATCTTCATTAATGAGGGTTATTATTGGCAAAAAAATTATTCTTAATTAGTGTGCAACTTCTCAAAACTACACTTATTATGAATTGGAGAGAGTATTTATTATATGGTGCATTGCATAAACAGCACCTTTAGAGAGTGTCAAAACTTGGCCAGCACTTTTTAATATATAAGTGTAAAACAAATCCTAGCTAGGGTTTTTCTGATATTTAATCTCATTTGCGCCGTTCCACACCCTTTCTGTGTGGATCTCTGCGTTTTTTGTGCTGCGCCGTATCTTAGGTTGTCCACTTCGTTTCACTTCACAGAGGTACACATTCGAATCAAACGATTGTTGCTTCTTTCAAGTGTCTGAATATGATAGCGTTTACGTTGTTAACCTGCCCGTGTTCTTTTTTTTTTTTCCTTTTTTTTTTTTTGTCTGCTGAACTCCTGCATTTCCTAACTTCATTAGTAATTTTATGCTGTGTTTAGCTCTCTCTCCTGGTTCTTTTTCTTTTTAAGCTGAATCTTCATTGTGGGATGCAGAATATTGCTTCGATTTGTTGTGTTGCATTTTGTTAATATATTGTTGTTTGGGAAAACTGGACTGCCCCTTTTCCTTTATATTGAGCTTTATTTGATTATGTCGTTGTTTAAATTACATGATTTGAGGTAAAATGCTTTTGATATATATCTCTAAAGGGTGATTGTTGATTATGTATGCCCAGGACCTAAAAAGCAAGCTTAGCTAGATTGATAGAATAAATGGGGGACATTCATTAATTTCTGCACTCTTGTGTAATGGCCCAACTCATTGGTTTTCATAATGTACAGAATATTCTGTAGGCTTTGTATTAAATTTTTATTGATAAAGGAGCTTTTCTTACATTTAAGCTAGAGCCCAAAATTAGGATCCATTGCCACAATAATTAAGCAGTAGGACTGGCATGTCACCGTAAAATGAATATTTTGACGAAAATCCGATGATTTAAGGCCTGTTTGTTTCTTGATTACATTCGGTTATTATGGAATTCTCTCTGATATTTCTATCCAGCTATTATTATTCTTTGGATCCGTTCAACTTGTCAGTGGACTCATTGGGTATGATTTCATTGCATACCTCTCTGTGCAGTTAAAGATGTATACTGCCCTACAAAAGATCCACAAGGACAAGGATGCTGAGCCCTCCGAGTTTGAGGAGAATGTTGCTCAGGTACTTATCGTTGTTTCTATTTAGAAGTTATTGTGGAAAAGTTATGAATTGACCGCTGTTGTATTAATATGAGCTGTATACTTTCTTTCTTTTTCTCTCTCTCTCTCTCTCTGTTAATTTTTTTATTATTTAATCACAGGCATTGTTTGATCTGGAAAACACCAACCAGGAGATCAAAAGTGATTTGAAGGACCTATACATCAACTCTGCCTCGTGCGTCCTTGAACATTTTTTCGATGTGTATTCACTTTATTGAGTTTGATACTAATCATTGTACAAACTTACCCTCAGGCAAATTGATGTTTCTGGAGGCAAGAAAGCTGTTGTGATTCATGTGCCTTACCGTCTGAGGAAATCTTTCCGCAAGATTCAGCCCAGGCTCGTGAGAGAGCTCGAGAAGAAGTTCAGTGGGAAGGTAAAGCTGGGATAACATTATGTGAATGATATACTGGATAAAAAAAACTTTACATAAACTTTTCCCTTTTATTTTTGGATTTTTGTCCGGCTCACTTAGTAAATGTGAAACTGTGCAGGAAGTGGTACTTATTGCTACCAGAAGGATAGTTCGCCCGCCAAAGAAGGGGTCAGCCGTTCAAAGGCCAAGAACCCGCACGCTTACTGCTGTGCACGATGCTATGCTCGAGGATATTGTTTATCCGGCTGAGATTGTTGGGAAACGTGTCAGATACAGACTTGATGGTTCAAAGATCATGAAGGTGACTGCTTCTTTTCCTTTTTTTTTTCTTTTTTTTTTCTAGGGGTAAATTGCAAGAACTACCCTCAGAGATTGGATAAAAAGCTAGAAAGTTCTAAATCAATACCCCATTTGCTAGAACTCGTAAGAGAATGCATTTTCTTGATTTATATTCTTGTTTCGATAACAGGTCTTCTTGGACCCCAAGGCAAGAAATGACACCGATAACAAGCTGGAGACATTTGCTGGGGTATACAGGAAGCTTTCGGGGAAAGATGTCGTGTTTGAATTTCCAGTAAATGATGCATGAGAACGGAGCTGTTTCTTCTCTCGCTTTATTTTTCAGTTTATTTAATTGAAAGGCAATTTGGGGTATTATGAGATGAGTAAGCTAAGCTATGTGAAGTTTTGATGGAGGGCCTCCTGCTGAAGAATTTCGGTTTTGCAGAAAGTGTTGAACATTAGTCTATTTGTTATAATCTTACTTTTTTTGCATTGCATTGATTACATTAGTTTTGCTGGCTTGATGCTTGATGTACTTGCTCCTATATGTTGTGTTTACGCGCCATATGCTTTTAGAACCATAATAATTTTTGAGTTTCCACTACACAATATTTATTGGTGTGATCATGACATTACATTGCAATCAATTGACTAGGACAAGAGTCACGCATGTCTTATTAACAATGTTAGGTTTCTGATTGTTGAGCAGGTCTTAATCTTCCACACCAAAAAATAAAAAATAAAAATCATGGCTTTATTGTTAGCTAATGTAAAGGAAAATGTTGTGTAGTTATGGAAGAAAAGGAAATAAATTTCCAAATACTTAATCTTAGATTTGACTTGTGGAAAATTATTCTTCTATGCCTTTATATGAAGTAGAGCAATTTCTACACAAGTTTTTGCATGTTCTCATAAGTCATATGGACTTTTTATTACACACCCAAACTTTATCGGGCGTGCTTTGATAGAGAACTAAATAATGGACTATAAGGTGTCAATATTAAAAAGTAAGCATGGTGATTAATGATAGATACCCATATATAAACATATATATTCAATCTTGATATGTATATACTAGTACGTGGCCCGTGCGATGCACGGGAAAATAATATTTTGATTGTATTATAAATTAAATAAATAAATAACATTAATCATGATTTACCCATTATTTATAAATTAAACCGGGTTGGACACAGTCCGACCGGATGGACCGAGAACCTGTTTATAACCGATTTAGTGCGCTTGAATAAAATATTTGCTATCGAATCCGTCAACACCAGTATGTTGGACTGGTAAGATCGATACGATTTTCTAAACAAATTTTGTAACATGAAAAATTATTTTAAATAAAATTGCATATTTAAATAAAATAAAGATTTATAAATTGTTTATCAATTAGTCTAAACATTTGAATTTATAAATTTTTTAGATATTTAAGTAACACTTTCTATTTAAATTTATTACAAAAAGTACTATATATATATATATATATATATTAAAGTATTATGTATTAAAATCTGAACAACCACAAGATGGTGCGATTCTGAAAACCTTATATTTACCGTACATTAATAAAAATGATAATGAAATAAATATTTTGCTCACATAAATAATAATAAAATGATATATAAATGTTCATAAATCATTTATCATGTTGTCATAAAAGTATTATTAATATGATTATTTGAAGTTTGGACGACATCACATTCACGTAATAAAGTATTTTTAATATTAAAATTTATATTTAGGTTCAATAATCAATTTGGTCTGGTCAAACTGATACATAACTTAATTACCTCGGACCAACCAAGTTATGTCAAGTTTTTTTGACTATTTTAAATATCACCTAAAAGTAATTCAATCAAAGTGGGCAGTACCCTAATTCAATCACCCGATTGATCCAAAGTAATTTCCTTATTTTCTTTAAATATAATATTTAATTTTATGAAATAAAAATATTTTATGATTCATATGTCTACACCAAATGATAGTACATTAAGATTATAAATTATATATCCAAAGATGAACTATTTATTTTTATTTTATGCATATTAATAAAAAATAAACATAGTAATTTTAAAAAAAATTAAGATTAATTGATTGGGTATGCAATTTAAAAAATATTTTTAGCGTTCAATATATATATAAATATATATATATATATATATATATTTAACATGATTGAATTTTTGGATTAGAATATATATATTTAAAATATTTTTATTATTAAAAGTCAAAAAGAAAAGATGCCATAAAGATTACAACTTTGAAAAGTTTGTAACCATTAATTTATGAACCCTCCGATTTTAAATGACTTATAATTTTCGAAACATGATACGTGCATTTAAAACCCATTAATTTAGGAACCATCCAATTTTTTGATAATGAATTAAAATTAAAATATAAAATGTAAAAGTTGCTAAAAATAGTATATAATAAATGTGGTTGACTTTTCCTTACTACTATTTATGGTAAATATTAATTCTTATTATATATATATAGATTCACATTAATTATAACATAAAATATCGTATATAATGAGATAAATATGCATTACACTAAATATAACATTAATCAATGTGCATTAATTACAACTACACCAATTGTGTTCAAGTAAATTACCACGAGTTTGCAATCTAACCCATTGATACAATTTTGTATCCTGTAAAATTTTTTCTACATCAGTTCTATGTAAACTATTGAAAAAACTGTACAAATAAACTATCATAATTAATGCTTCTTAATATATATCATCAATATCTGGATAATCATACAATCACTTTCAAGTAGATTTGCACAAGCACAACACTATCTAGATGGACCTCGCCACGTGAATTATCATTTTCAATTTGGCCACGAAATTCATACCTATACGGGGATATGCACAAGCACAACTCAATTTAGATGTCATTTTCGTGTGTCAGGAAAAGATAAAAATAATCAAAGTCGAAGTATCTGATACGTTTTCCTTAAGATAAAATATCCATGTATATTATCCATGATTCACAGTTAAAATCTCCAAAATACAACAACTTAACGGTAACTCAAATACACAATCTTTTAATGAAGAATACTTAAATTTTGGAACTCTCAAGAAAGTGACGTATACAAAAAACACGTATGATTTATGTAAAATGATTCAAAGAACTCTTAAGATATGATTATATAAATGGTTTCACTTCATAAGTGTTTATATATATTATTGGAAATCTACATGGTTCAAGACATTAAAATATACCTTTCGAGACGTGTCTGGTCATCTAAAATTGAGTTGGAAACTTTTCGGCATCAGCATGTGTGTCTGAGTTGCGTGCACGTCACGTCCGCGAAGAGTTGTCGTGCCCAACTGTTGGGTGGAAACAAGTTTCGCGCCTGCTAGCTCGTACGCGCTCTTTTTCTATTCATGATGGTTTTCAGTACTCTTTTCCAACAAACTCTTCTAGAGTTCCAGCATGCCCACTGCATAACTATAGTTTGTTTGGATTATTCAAAGAGTCATAAAGATCGAACATATGTGGATCCAATAATTTTTGAATTATTTAAAGTCAATTTGGAGTTAAATAAATTAAGATACCCAACATTTCAACTCTAGAATTTATATCTCATTCATATTTTTGAAACTTTATTCTAGATATGCCACTTGCGAAAACGAAATCCTTGATATCGGTATAAAACAATTTTTTATTACACTTTGAATTGGTCAACCAAGCGATAATAAAACACGTGTCTACCTAATTCTCATTCCTCTCCCCCTATCCTCGTACAATAGTATAGTCTTTATGCTCGCGTTAAATTAACTCGATCTCTACTTGTTTATCAATATAACAAGGTTCAAAATAAATTTGAGTTTGACTACTTTATCAATGTTAATTAAGTTGAATTTGAGTCGTTCATGAGTTTAGTTAAAATTTAGATATTTATTTAAAAAAACTCTATTCTCTAGCCTTATTAAATTAATAGGCGATCGAAATTGAGAACCAGCGAAGTCGAGCATTAACACGTTAACTAAACGAGTTTTAAATAAAATTTTGGTGGGCTCAAAGTTTGACAAACTGACTCAAGTCGAGCTCACAATGTATACGTATAACCAAACCCACTTGCAATAATGGAAAATAGCTGGTTTTCAAATAATAAGAAGAAGAAAAAAATAAATAAAATAAAATAAAATAAAAATGGAAAATAGCCCTTATGACCAGCTGCTATGAGCCTATGAGCTATATATCTCCAACTGCAGAGTACACCACGCAACTACCACCATCACCACCTTAGATTTCACCGTCACTCATCACTAAACGCCAAGAAGCAACCAGAAGCTCGCCCCCCACGCTAACCTCAACAATGGGCAAACAGCCAATCACCACCACCACCACTGCCGCCACCACCAAATCGGAATCCGCCGCCGCTGCCGCCGAGTTCAAGCTGGTCGGATTTAAATCCTTCGTCCGCACAAACCCCAGGTCCGACCGCTTCCCCGTCCGCCGTTTCCACCACATCGAGTTCTGGTGCGGCGACGCTACCAACGCTGCCCGCCGCTTCTCCTGGGGCCTCGGCATGCCCCTCGCCGCCAAGTCCGACCTCTCCACCGGAAACTCCGCCCACGCTTCCTACCTCATCCGCTCCGGCCAGCTCGACTTCCTCTTCACCGCCCCCTACTCCCCCTCCGTCTCCGACCCCTCCACCGCCGCCATCCCCTCCTTCTCCCTCCCCGCTCACCGCTCCTTCACCTCCTCCCACGGCCTCGCCGTCCGCGCAATCGCCTTCGAGGTCGATTCCGCCTTTTCCGCCTACTCCACCTCCATTTCCCATGGCGCCATATCGGTTTCCCCCCCAATTCTGCTAGCCGACGGCAAAACCGCTATAGCTGAAGTACAATTGTACGGCGACGCCGTCCTGCGCTACGTGAGCTATGGTGAAACCTCCCATCTCTTTCTGCCGGGATTCGAGCCCGTAGATAACAAATCTTCCTATCAGGAACTGGATTACGGGATCAGACGGCTGGATCACGCCGTGGGCAATGTCCCCGAACTCGGGCCTGCAGTCGAGTACCTAAAGAAATTCCTAGGGTTTCATGAATTCGCCGAGTTCACTGCCGAGGACGTGGGGACAGCCGAAAGCGGGTTGAATTCAGTTGTTCTAGCCAACAACGAGGAGAATGTTTTGATTCCATTAAACGAACCGGTTTATGGGACAAAGAGAAAGAGCCAGATACAGACTTATCTGGAGCACAATGAAGGTCCCGGCGTTCAGCACTTGGCTTTGGTATCTGAAGACATTTTCCGAACGCTTGAGGAGATGAGGAAGAGGAGTGGAGTTGGGGGGTTCGAGTTCATGCCTTCACCTCCACCTACTTACTACCAGAATCTGAAGGGTCGGGTTGGAGATGTTTTGAGTGACGAGCAGATTAAAGAGTGTGAGAGGTTGGGGATTTTGGTTGACAGGGATGATCAAGGGACCTTGCTTCAGATTTTCACCAAGCCGGTGGGCGATAGGTATGTGTCTGAAAAACTTATGACCCGCTACCAGTTTTAACTTGTGATGTTCTTGTGTTATTATTCTTGAAGTTGTTTGGAGATGGTTTGGGTGTTTCGATTTGCAGTGTGGTTCCTTTCTCTATTTGTTCCATTTATGATTCATATCTTGGAAAAGGATATGGATATAAGAGTGGAATGTGAACTTTGTGGCTGATAAACGAAATATTGTAGCTTTGAACTCATGTCCTTTTTTTTATCACGGAATGATTGTCGGGCTGTAAAGTTATTTTGGTGAGTTTTTCAATAACGTGTGTGAGATTGAATTGGTTGAATTAGATGTGAGTGAAATTCTTGAAACTTTATCTTGAATCTTGATTTACGAAAATGCCGAAATGGGATACTTAATGTGTCCTATCTTTATATGTCAAATGTTGAGTTTGGACTTACTGGGTAATCATATATCTTCGAATATTTTTCCCCTAATGCCTTTAGTTAACATATTGGTTGATTGCCTATATATTCTGTCTACTAGACGTCTATGGCTTGCTCTATTTCTTACTGACACTGTAGTAATTCAAAATCTCCCAAGTTTACTTCAATAAGAACTTGTTTTTTTGGCCATTTCTTTTCCTTTGTATTTCATTGTTGAGGCTCTACCTGTTTAGCCAGTTTGTGTGTATAAGTTTGAGCCTATATTTTAGTTTGTTGTTCAAATTATCGAACTTTCTAGCTGCTACTAAATTGTCTGAACTGCCGTTATATACCATCCATTTGCCAACAGTGAATTTAAAACAGTGGTATAATGGATTTGTTTGTGTAATTGCTGGTATTTACTCGAGCTATCATAAGAATAACTATGACGAGGTATGTGAGGTTATCATGCGTGCAGGCCAACCATATTCATAGAGATAATCCAGAGAATAGGGTGCATGCTCAAAGACGAACATGGAAGGACTTATCAGAAAGGCGGGTGTGGAGGATTTGGAAAGGGCAACTTCTCAGAACTCTTTAGATCCATTGAAGAATATGAGAAAATGCTTGAAGCTAAACTAGTGACTGAAAAGGCAAAGGCTTGACCGGCATGCAAACATGCTTACAAACTAGTAAAAAAATAAAGAACTGCGAAAGCTCTTGAACTACATTATATGCCTGTAATCGTGAGTGAACTTTTATCGTGTGAAAACTCCAGTTTCTTAATATTTTATTGTGCTGTCTGCCATTTAATGGACCATGTAATGACAATGTTCGAATTAAATGCAATTTGTGTATGGTTGTTTTGATCATCCCAGATGATCTATGTGTTTGTATTCTGCAATTCATCAGAGACAATTGCTATTATGTGGTCTTGAAGTTTCTCGGGATGTGACTTGGAGGTGGCAATGAATCAAAGATAGTCCTGACCATCTGCAAAAGGGCTCTGTATTTTTACAAACCTCTTTCGTTGAGTTTCTTTCTTTCTTTCTGGTTCTAAGTTATATGTGTCAATTCGTTAAAAAAACATATTATTATATCGTGAAATTTCTTGATTTTACAAATTGTTAAATAGTTTTCTTTGATTCTAAAGTTTTGTTTCTAGGCAATATCTATGCCTGACCTAGTTGCCCTCCTAAATCATACCTACTGGCTACTAGTGCACTACTATCTGTGTTGTTGTAATAAAAATAAATGTAGAATATATAAGATGACAAATAAAAAAGAATTTGATTATTAGTTTCACATTCAAAATATACAACATTATTTGTAAAAAAATTAAAATAAATAGACGATAAATAATATAAAAATACTACAAAAATACTACGAAAAGAATTCGAACTTGATTATTTAGAGTTTCAAATTCAAAATATGCATATTATTATTGTTATTATTATTAATTTTTTTTTTTTAAAAAAAATTGTTACTAGTCCTAAAATTATTAGTCTCTTCCTTTAATTAAACTTCATTTACCTGAAGTTGCTACTACATAACTACAAAAACGCTACTAAAGAATTCGGTGCGTTGTGCCGCTGTACTGCTGCAGTTGAAAGGCAGTGAGCGGGAACGAATTCCGTTTCTTCCTTTCCTGCGACATTAATCTGCCCGTCACCTTCAAAATCGAGAGATTCGAAGGGAAATCATTTTCTCTGAAGCCCAGGTTATGCAATTTCCTTTTGTTGATTGAGATTGGAAAATGACTTCTATTTGTTATAGACTGTGTTGATTGAGCTACTGATTATCTAGATTGAGTTCTCGTTACTTTCTTAATGGAGCTTATTTCGAGCTTAAGGTGATGATGATCGTCCTGTAAATTGGATTGTTCAGCTGATGTTGACTGTATAGAGGAGAGGAAGCCTGAGTTGTCTTGTTGTATGTTGATGGGGCGCCTTTCGGGCTCCCCACAAGAGCGAGGTTTAATTATCTGCATTTGATAGTGTAGTGTTTTATTTCGGGAACCGATTAGCTCCAGCGTGTTTGGTGATTCCATTGAGGTGTGAATAAATGTAGGTTGGATTCTGTTGACCCATCCTATTGTTGGAATGAACTTGTTACCCTGAGTACTAAATATCGTGATTTGACTGCACATTCACAGCTTTCCCTCACGGTAAATAGTTAAGTTTTATTATTGTAATTATAATTGACACAAATTATTATAGTTGTTCTATAAAGTGTTATTCTGACTTGTATATATAGGTCTATGATGTTTCGTATGGGAAAAACAAGGAAGTGGTCGGTGGGGCCACAATTCATCTATTTAACATGGAAAAACAGTTGAAGACAGGGAAGCATAAGCTTAGACTTTGGGCGGGCACATAAGCAGATGGTTGTATTTATACAACGCTAGGGAAGGTATGGGATATTCCTTTTTTATTCATAGTGTGCTGTTCGGTATTTGTTTTAATGTTCGTGTTGTTACAGGTTCCAAAAGAGGAGTGGGGAGAACTAGAACGTCTCGAGAAGCTCGTGATTAAGTATGAGAGAGGACATATTCAAAGAGTTGACTGGCCAGACATTTGATGCCATGGAGAAAATTCAGGAATGTGAAAGCATAAAAATCGGAGGTTCCAATTTGTACGTTGTCGTCAATTTCTGTAGTTTCGAACATCGAGTTGTTCTCCAGGTAAGTTTTATGGGCCTGTTGGCTTTCTTCATCCTCTTGAATGTGCATTACCTGAGTTCCATGGTTATCGATATGAATGTTGCTGTATTTAAAATGTAAATGAATTTTTTTATTTCATATATGAGCTGCATTTTATATGCATTACTGAACTTTCTTAGTTGAAAATCCAGCTATTTTATTTTTGGGTCATGCTACAAGAACATAAATTCTGACTGACATACACACTAACCTTATGCAAACGATCTTATTTTTCAATCATTGCATCATCTTTAAAATGAACAACTACTTATGTCAAACTTTATGTCAAACCTTTCTTGTGCAAGCAGCATTGCCCTTTATTTTTTGTCATAAACTTTTGGGTTCGAGTTTTTTGCTGAAAATAACCGGTCAGCCGGAGCAAATAGACAAACACCAGCTGAGCTTGAGTCGCCTGACCTTGTGTGTATGTGTGATATTTATGATAAATAATTTTCTCCCGGTTCCTGCTAAAGCACTAATATATATTTTTTGTAGCCTCATTATTTGGTTATCAAATAAAATTATGACTTCGCTGTGTAGGAGTCTGGTGCAAATTTCTTGATTCCATCCCCAATAGCTTCAAGAAGTCGGAATAATTAACCCCTTGGAGCACAAGCAACAAAACATGGCAAGAAGTTTAAATCGGGACATCGTCGACAGAGATCTTAAACCCAGCTCTACAGAAAGGAAGTAAGCTTTATTTTAGCTTAACTTAAGCTTTTTCTTTGTCAGTTGTCATATGCGAATGATTTTCCTTCATCTATCTGAAACCACATTCCCCACTCTTTATAATATGTCATTTCCTTAAGAAAGATGTATATAGCCTCCTCCAAAGACATTCCTTGTGCGACATTGTTAATAAATTATGCTGATAAGTTTTTTCCATAATGTCTGGTCTTGAACAGGTCTATACAAATAGTAATACGATATCCTCCCACCAGGGCTTTGACTGGAGAGGAGAAGCAGCTACTCTAGAAATTTCGATTATCACTAACCAGATTTTTGCGCCGTGTTGAATGGAGTGATGTCCGTGTAGAATTTCCTAATAGATGATACATACCCCTTAATCTCTAATATTTTATATCTTCCTTTTTTCATTCTATCAGTTTGTGATTTATGGGCTCGATATAATCATATAATTCTCCTCACATTCCTGTGAAATAATCTTCCTTCAAACAGTAACATATTTGTTGATATTTTCTATAGGAAGCGAAGCAGGCGTTAGAACTGATGGGAAAGTGGGAGGCAATTGATGTCTGTGGTGCAGTAGAGCTTCTATCGCCTATTTTTGAGAGTGAAGAGGTTAATTTTTACATTTTTTTTGTCAGTTCTTTGCTATCCAGACTTTTCTTAAGATTATGATTGATTGCCAATGTATCTTAAATATATTCAGCCACATGGGAAACATAGTGATTAGTTCCACAAACTGGAAGATATTGCTTAAAAGAATCTATTAATCCATTTACTTCCTATTATGAAATGACTGATTCTGAATAGTGGGCAGAGAATTGTGTATTGGAATCTGATCACGCAGCCAGACACATATTTTATGAATCAATGATGTCTGCTTGTATTTTTCTGTGTATTGAGTTTTATAAATTTAAATTCAGGTTATTCAAATGGTATCGTTAATGGATAGATTACTCAAGTTGGAGAATCTAGACCTTCATTCGAGTCCTTACAGAGTATTAGCAACATGTCATGATGAAGGAATGCGGGAATTTGTAAAGAAATGGTCGAAGCTATGGGTGGAGCTGAAAGGTGCATTTGGTGACTTAAAAAAAACACCTGAGGCATTCTTAAGGTGAAATCTCCATGGATTAGTACTTCTGTTAGAAACAATTGTAGCCCATTTTTGTCATTTTCTTTTTCTTTCTTTGCCCTCTTATGACATGGTTTAATTGTTTATGCAGCTCCAAGATAAGTTCCGTTTGGACTTGGACAATGAAGAATCTATACATTTCTTTCAGGATATTATCAATGGAAGTGTTAGTGCATTATTCCCACAAATGGTGGAAACCATCCACCGTTGGGCTCAATTTTGGCGATAAGCTAACTCCATAGAGCTTTCGGTGGTGATACATCAGGTGAAAACTATCCCCGACTTTAACGTAACTATAAAAGATAAAAAGAAGTGGAAAAGAAAAACATCATTCTCCATAATTACTTGATGAATCACTAAGGTCATGCGAGAGGGAAAGAAGGAGAAAACGATTGAAGGAAATATCTCTAATTGTAGTATTTTCTGTAGTTAATCATTTCAAAAAGACTGAAAATTACAAGTGAGAAATGCTGGGTAGTTTTACTTCTCATATCTGCATGCACATTTACTCTCTTTTGGTCCTCCCAAGATTTAATTAAAATTTATCTCTCTATTTGGAGTATATGGTTTGCAGTTCTATTTTCTGGTTTGCACAAAATTTACCTGTTTTGCTAGGAAATGATTGACAAGTAATCTTGTTATAGTGTGTACATACAAACAAAGCTCGTATCTTTCAATGTTTATCTGCTTCTGAATAATTGATTGGCGTGTTGGCACATTATAGCTTTGCTTGTCGAACATAAAATCCACCTGTCTTGAGGTTTCAGTTTATTTTGTTTTTTCATCGGTTAGAACTTGGGAAATACTCAAATCATGGATATGACTTCAAAATCTGCAACTGGGTAAGTAAGTTTTCCAGTTTTCTTAAAAACCGAAGGAGAGAGCTTATTTGTCACCGTATTACTTTGACACAAAATTTTTGTGCAACATGAATACATGTAATCTTCTTTCTTCACGACTTCTTCCTTTTGTCATCTACCTCTGTAGTTTCTGGCGGAAAATAGACTTTAGGATGGGCTGATGCAGAAGAAAAATTATGTCGTTTATCCAACACGATGTATGTAAATACGAATACCATTTGTATTTGGTGTTGTAAATAAGTTTCCTAATCTTAAGCTGTGTGGTAATTTTTTTCTTTGCGGGAATTATGTTCATTCTTTGCTCGTTAGTATTGAAATTATGCTACATTACCTATTATTTGCTTATTTGTCACCCTTCAATTTGTAGCAGAACAAATCTCGTTGGGTTATATTCGATTCACTGGTTCAGTATTTGATAATTAATAAAGTTATGCGAGAACTGATTTGTACAGTACTGATTTGATAATTAATAATGTTAGGTTCAAAAATAATGATGTATATATTTACAAGAAATAGATGTAATACGAATTTCTCATAGTTGGATTAAGAATGATTTCACATTTACCGCATAAATTGTGATTTAACTAATTAAAGAGTAAGGGAGACAAATCGTAGACACTATGCAATGTTTAAAATGTAGAAAATGAAACAACAATTATATTCGAGTTTAATTTACGTTCAACATTCGCAATGCACGAAACCGCAGGCAATGCCACCGCAGATAGGCACGGTACAACTCCTGAAGCGAAACGTACAAAATTATTCCTCCGAAAAGATGATCAACATCAAACAAACAAATATCCCTTCTCCCAGGCCCCCTCACGTGCTGATGTCAGTAGACGGAGAAACCTCGCCGACCATGGCTCTAGAGAGAGAAATGGAGGAGGGAGAGGAAGACGACGAGGATGTAATGCTGAAAAGGCGAGATAGAGACGATGACGGCGGAAACAGCTGCGACGCCGCCCCGCCGCCGTCGCTGTGGAGTCGGAAAATGGTCGTGGAGGAGGTGGCGAGAGTGCTGACCGGAGGCGATCTGAAAGCAAGGATCGAGGCGGCGAGAGATGTGAGGAGGCTCGTGAGGAAGTCCACCAGCGTTAATTCCAAGTCCGCCGTCCGCTGCCGGTTTGCTGCCGCCGGAGTTATCGAGCCGCTCGTTTCGATGCTACACGTCTCGTTTCCCCTCGCCGCCCGCGAGGCGGCGCTGCTCGCGCTTCTCAATCTGGCTGCTCGCAATCAGAGGTATCGCCCCCTTCTTCTCTTACGCCTCTCGAGTCTTGAGAAAAGCTTCTGGTGTGAACTTTGATTCTGCGAAGTAATTGCTTGTTCGATCTGTATTTAGGTACTGCTAAAATTAGATGTGCTAATCATGTTTGGTTGAGCTTGAAGAAAGTTGTGTGTAGTTGTGGTCATGTCTATTTCTCACTCTGCGTAGAAACAAATTATATAGTGTGCGTACATGGAATTTCATTGATTGTACTGGAATTAAGAACTGTTTTAGCAAATCTTTTTGTATAAAATTGATCAGCTGGTGGGGTAGCATGATGACATCTGGTGAAACAGGACAGAAAAAAGATGAAGACAAGATAAGATAACTTGAAAATGGAGTCCATAGCTGTTTTGTCTAAAATTGGTTTTCCTTTTTTAGTTTGCTGAAAGGTGTGATGGAAAGTTCTTGCCTGGAAGATAATGAGTTTAGGATTTCCGCTAACTTGGGAAACCACCTTGATGAACTGAAGAGTAGCTTCTTGGATATAGGTTTCATTGGAGCTTTGATGATTTGAAACTTGTTATCCTTTTTAGATGAGGCATCCAAGTTCACTGGATTTGTTTGATAAGTTTGATACTTGGGTTCAAATTCACCAAACCAAGTAAAGCTTTAAGTTGAATATTGGTGAAGATTTTGGATTTCAGTTGCATATAAGAATTTATTTGAAATCTACCAAAACGACTCTGTAAGTGGCTTCAAATAGTTGCTTATAATTACGAATTTGAAAACCGTCGATCCAAATGAAGCCTCAAATCAATACAAACAGAAATCGCTTTCTTCAGTATACGTGTCAAAGATTATTTGCTTCAATAACCACCAGCAGTTTAAATCTACACTCCATTAATTTTCTCTGTTTGTCACCAGAAACAAGATCAGCATCGTGACAACTGGCGCAGTCCCACCCCTCCTCGACCTCCTCAAGCACCAAGCTGACAACCTGAGGGAATTATCCGCCGCTGCAATCCTATCACTATCGTCTGCACCACCCAACAAGCCCACCATAACAGCTTCCGGGGCCCATGTTCAATTGGTCCGGATCCTGTGCACGGGCAGCGTTCAGGGACGGGTGGATGCAGTCACGGCCCTCTACAACCTCTCTACCTCTGAGGACGAACCCAAACCGAACCTCGACCCAAGTGCCGTGCCCCCACTAATCGACCTCTTGAAAGAATGCAAAAAATACTCCAAATTCGCCGAGAAGGCCAGTTTCCTCTTGGAGATATTCTCGGGCTCCGAAGAGGGCCGGAATGCGATTACTGAATCGGAAGGTGGGATTTTAACCCTGGTGGAGACTGTGGAAGACGGGTCCTCATTCAGCATGTTGTATGCTGTGGGGGCATTATTGTCATTGTGTAGGAGCTCGCGGGACAAGTATCGGGAGCTTATTCTCAACGAGGGTGCTATCCCAGGCCTCCTGCGCTTGACAGCCGAGGGTACTCCAACCGCCCAGGACCGGGCTCGGAGTTTATTGGATTTGCTCAGGGATTCGCCTCCTGAGAAGAGACTGACCATGTTGGAGCTCGAGAGGATTGTGTACGATTTTGCTGCGCATATTGACGGGAAGGGCAAGGCCGTGGAGACTGCTAAGAGATTGTTGCATGATATGGCTCAGAAGAGTGCGGAGGCTGGGTTGAGCCGAGTGAAGATCAAAACTTCGTCTTGAACAGAAATCTGTTTGATTTAACTGAGAAATGCTTGCGAGGTGAACTTTTTACGACCTTACTCAGAGTTTTACGTTTTTAACCGTCTTTAACCATATGACTACGCTTTGTGTGAATCTCTGTTGTATATTTTCTCTTTAGTTGCATTTAGGGAGAAAGAATGAGCTGTTGCTAATGTTCTGGTAAGTGTAGATTTTAGTTGCTGAGTTCGAATGTTATCAATCTTCAGGGGTTCAGATTGGTATGACTGACATTAGTAGGATCTTACAAATGAAAAGAATTTCATGTTCTATGTAACAGTGTGCTGTAGGGACAAATTATTGCTAACATTTCACATGTTGAAAAAGGTTTCAAAGGTTGCTCTAATATATGATTCCTGATTGTAGCTATTTTTATTTCTTCTTTTGTTTGGACCAAAACTATTTTGTTTGTTGTTTCACTGTGCAAGTGTTCGATAATCTGATATAACATATTAAAAAAAGTAACTCAGGAAGAACATAATATATTAGGCTCTAGTCAAAACTCTCACATTTCCTCCCCTCAACTAACTCAATTTCCGGAGTCAAAAAGAAAAAACCCTCTCTCCTAAATTCACTGTAGCAAAGAGAAAAAATCAGATCTAGCGTCACCCCCCCTTCTATTCCGGCGGCCGCGCGCCCGGCAAGGCCTTGGCCGAGGCTGGAGGAGTTCTCCCCGCTCCACTCTGTCATCGCATGAGGCTTGCAGCTTCGCCATGCCTTACTCGCCCGGAGTGGGGCCGTCGTCCGGCCACTTTCTCCTCCTCCAGTTTCGCGCCAGCCTTTTTGTCGATCCTTGCCGATTCGAGGTTGGAGAACTATTCTCTACCCCTTCTGGAGTTTTGCGGGAGTTCCGGCCTGGGTGTGGTGATCTCTCCCCGCTTTCGGAGGTGGTCGCCGATCCGCCTTGTCTTCCTTCCAGCCTCAGGAGCTTCCGGGTTTGCTGGATTTGTGCTCGGGCTTTCAGTTCTACATCCATGGAGGGGCGTCCGATCGGCTGCCGACAGCTTGAGGCGTTCTCTCCTTGGATCTTGTTTGATCCCTCCGACGTTTCGTGGTGGCTCCCTCCCTCTGGTGATAAAGCCCTTCAAAGCTCAGATCTAGATTGAGGCTTGACTCTTTGTCAGATCCGTCTAGGCGGTTCGATTTCGATTGCAGTTTTTGGTTCTGGAGTCTAAATTTATTGTTTGGTTGGTTTCTTTGTTGTGGAGTGTGTTTCGGTGGTAGGTTTGAGAGTGTGTTCGGTTGCCCGATAGGATTAGGGAAGGTCTTATCTTCTTTATTTGTTTATTAGGTGTGAGTTGTTTTTGGTTTTTATTTTGTTGTTTTGTTTCGTTTAGTTCAGCTTGTCTGCTTTCGTTTAGTGCAGCTTTGTCTGTTTTTCTTTTCTTTATGGAGTTTGTTTCTCTTTTTTGGTGTTTTGCTTTGTGGTTGTTCGCTTTCTTGATGGAGTTTGTACCTCTTGGGTGTATTGACAAGAGGGTTGATCCAGTCTTCTGATTCCAGTGTGTCACTTGACACTTCATGTGTACTCTTTTGAGTTTTTAAATTATTAATATAATTGCCGTTTGAAAAAAANAAATGAAAAAACCAGCTTACCTTGAAATAGCAGAAATTTTTGGAATCAACATTTTGCCAATGCTTTCATTTTTAATTTGTCACCTAATTATCAAAGTGAAAATAGTATTGGCGAAAATTAAAGGTCTACTGTGGTCTATGCCTCTTATGGGTTTCGTGGTCGAATCCAGTAATTCTCAACATTCATATTTTATATTGCCAAAAAATAGTTGCAGATTTGCATGAAGTAACATTTATGCCACTTTACTCGTTAACTTAATGAGCAGATAAACAAGTTTGAGCTCGAGCTTGACTAGTTAATAAACTTTAATTAATAAGATGAGCTCGAGTATTAACGGAAAAGTCCATAAATTACGTAAAAAATCGTATTTGTCAAGCATAACGAACCTTAGACAAGTTCAAGATAGACTTATTTATCAAACAAACGAAATCGAGCTCACGAGCGGCTCGTTTAGTTTAACAACTCCAAGTGTGCGGTTAAGGCTAATAAGATTAATTACAAAATCTTTTGTTTATTTTTTTTGTCTTTCTTACAAAATAATAATAACCAAATACATTATAGGTCTTGAGATGAATTTTCTACCTACCTCATGTTGGTTTATAAAACCTAGTACAGTTATCCGTGCATTAACACAGGAGCTACGAAAAAAAATTATCAAAAGAACAATTGTAATTAACAATTAAATATTAATGCACATTTTCTTATATACAATGTCTTATTTTTTTTAATAATAATTAAATTCAGATATAATAGATAAAGAACGTTTTCTTTGATAGTTTATTCAATTGTTCTTTTTTTTTTGCCAATTCTTAATACATTTTTATTAATATAATAACAGGTTAAGTATAATAAAGAAAGTGTACACAATTAAAAAAAAAAGGAATTAAACAAAGAGAAAATTACTTACAGTACAACTCCTTACCAACATAATAGCAAAATTACGACACTACTCAAATCTTTATCAATTTTACGTGTTAAATTTAATTAAATAGGTCAGGCTATTATTTTTTGCCCTGATTAACCGTTAATTCGATATCATTATATTTGTTTCAATTTTAGGAGGTTCTCTCAATTGATTGAACCTCCTTTAGAGGATTCTTTCAAATTTTAGGGATTGATGTTAAATTAATTGATTGAACTTTTGGGATGAACGGCGGTTTAATTCGACCACAGCGCCGTCCAACGCGCGATGAACGACGGATTTGTCGCAGAGTTTCTGAAGGAAAACACCACACAGATTGTCTTTCAACGGAAGAAAATCGTCGGCGACTTTGGTACCCCGATTGGGTGTTTGGAGGGTTGGGAGTGTGGATTGATATGAGGAGGAGATCAGCGAGTTGGCTCAGTATGCGGGACTCGTCGTGATTCTTGTTTGGGGATTTTGAGCGGTTGAGAAAGGGACTACGAAGAAGAAGGAAGAGTGATGATGGTTTAGTATTGATTTGTGCTTCTTCAAGGTGTTTGATGATGGTTTAGTTTTAATTTTTTTTTTTATTTCTACTTTGGTATAATCTATACTTATATTAAAGAAGTCCTATTTACCAAATTTAGTAGTTAGAAAAGTCAACAACATTTATTGTCATTACTATTTTCGTATTATACAGTTTTATTTAATATTTGTTTTTCTGTTACGATTTTTAAAAACAGATATGATTAAATTTTCTCATCATTAATTACTTCTCATTAATTACAATTTATTTATTTATTATTTTCTTAGCAAAATGGACCAACATTAATTGATTTCCTTAAAATGTGGAAGTTGTTGCTTTATTTTTTTTACAGAAAATTGGGCTTCATTATAGAAATTTGTTCAATTACACAATGAATTTGCTATGATATAATTTTTTGTGGGAACTTTTTATTTTAACAGAAAAATTATATGGCATTTCAATAAGATTTTCGATTTTTTAAGACTGATTGTTATCATGCTATGAAATTGAACATTCCAATATACCTTAACAAAATATACACGTGGTGTATACATTAATTAATAGAAATATAGAATCCTCATACTTTTATATATATGTATGTAATTTTTCTATTACCAAATTTAATTGATAGTTGTTGTGTTATGAGTTTTTTCATAGTTGTTACTTGGTTGTTGTGATGTTTAGTTTTTTTCTTCTTTTTGTTTTATGTAATTAAAATATTTCATATATGTTAATATTATTTATTAGTGTAATTAATTTAAATTATGTAAATAAATTTAAAGTAAAACATTTTTACAGAAATTTTATAAAATATACAGAAATGTTTTTCTAGAATTTAATTTTTTTTATAATAAATAAACATCTTTGAAATTCTATGCAATTATTAAACATCCTAGATATAAATTCGAAATCATACTTGAATTACATGCAATTATTAATTCCATCCGATGTTATGGGAAACAAATCATTCGGAAATGTAACAAAATAATAAAGAATTTTAAAATTTAAATTTTAAATGAGACATGTTTTTACTTGAATTTTATGTAATTATTATTTTGTCCGATTTTATGGCAAACAATTCATTTAGAATTTTAATGTAACAAAATAATAAGAAATTTTAAGATTTAAATTTAAATTTGAAATGAGACATGTTTT